CCTTTTCCAGCTGCAGGAAGGCAGAGTAAGGGATATTACTAAAGCACCTTGCTGCCCTTGGCTGAAAAGCGCCCCAGGATGGAAAAGGGTTTTGATAAAGCTTATTTAAAGGTGCAAAGCTCAGTTTGGACTCTGGAGAACCACCAACACAGGAAACCGATTTACCTCCACTTGAATTATTAGTAGGTACCATGTTATCTCTTCACTGCTACATGAGTGTTTAGTGAGTACTTTCAGTCTTTAAAGTTTGGGGCAGCTTGGCCAAGTATGGGGGAAAAGCTAAGTGAAACAAATTCAGGATATTTACTTCATTCTACCTGTATTCTTAGACTACAAATAAGTGTGTATTGCTTAGCTTCTTTAATAACCTGGCAATCATTCTAGTGGGTTACTAGGTGTTACTGACCACAAATAGAAGTCTTGGAAGACCATATCGCCATCATGAGCACCGTTATACTAGAACTTATTTCTGTTTGTTGGGATCTCAAAGTACCATTTCCAGATCCAGGGCTGAGAAAACATTCATGAACTTGAGAGAGATTTTATGCCTTGAATGGAATGTGCAAATTTTCTACCCTTGCAATAGTAAACACTTAAATCCTGATATCTTTATAATTGATGTGTTTTTAAAATACTAAATCGTGTACTTACTCCTTCTGTCTAGGTTCCTATGTTGACTAGTTGAGACAAATATAAATATGGCTTTCTACAGTTATAATACAATCTTAGCTATTGCCCGAACAAGGTAAGCTGTGGAATCCCCCCTTCCCCTGCCAAATTCATATGAATTTTCTTATAGATGAAAAAGATATATGTGAAAGGAATGGCTGGTTACACAACAAATTAAAGCTTTGCTGGGGGCACCCAGCTGGCTCAGTGGGAAGAGTGTTGGACTCTTGATCTCAGGGTTGTGAGTTCAAGCCCCACGTGGGTGTAGAGGTTACTTAAAAATAAAACCTTTTAAAAAAGTAAAGTTTTGTTGCCTTTAACTATCCTGGTTTTTAGGAAGCTCGTATTTTATGGTATTTAAACCTACCCTGAATTTTCTATATGCCTTAGAACTCAGCCTGAGTAATTCTGTAGATGTATGGCACAGGTAAGACAGAAGACATCATGGTTTTAGAGTGACACCTCCCTAATCAATAAATGTTACATGCCGCCCTTAGATATAAAAATGAGTACAGTGGCTGGCAAACAAACCAGTCCTAGGCCGCATAACTGCCATAGTAGGGTCTGTTATCACTTACTATTCCAAAGCATATTCACTGAGAACTTACTTTGTGCCTGATACATTGCACATTTTGCCTTTTGGCCCTTCAAAATGTGTTTTATCTTGGCATGCTTCAAAAACAGTCCACAAGAATGGAAAAGCCATCTCTTTGCCAGAAGAACTGTCCTTGCCAGGAACTTTCTTTGCCTAGATGGGTCGAATTTTTATTTTCAAACAATCTAATGTGCTAATTTAACTGAAGATTATGAGCTATTGTAAAACTACGATATAGAAATCTATGGATGGGGTGCCCAATTCTAATTCTTACCTAACATTCTTGAAGAATCTTAGGTGAAGGGCATTTCAGCTGTAAATGCCTCTCATTTGAGGGAGTCCATGGGCACTACACAGACAAAGCGGTATTATGTGATTGGTTAATACCCACGGAGGCCATGAAGAGTTTTGTTCAAGCAATCTTACTTTTTTTTTTTTTTTTTTTTTTTGAGAGAAAGCAAGTGAGCGGGCAGGAGAGGGGCAGAGAGAGAGGGAGAAAAAGAATCCCCAGCAGGCTCCACTATGTCAGCACAGAGCCTGATGCAGGGCTCAAACTCACAAACCTTGAGATGACCTGAGCCTAAATCAAGAGTCAGATGCTTAATTGACTGAGCCACCCAGGCACCCCTCAAACAATATTCTTATTGTCAGCAGAGTAACCGAAGACACAAACGTTCCACCTGTTTCATGAGAGTAGATAAAGGCAGCACTTTCAAACACACACCGTGATGGAATAATATTTGCTATTAGATTTGTATTTTATTTATTTATTTATTTATTATTATTATTTTTAATGTTTATTTTTGAGAGAGAGATAGAGTACGAGCAGGGGAGGGTCAGAGAGAGAGAGGGAGACACAGAATCTGAAGCAGTCTCCAGGCTCTGAGCTTTCAGCACAGAGCCCAACGCGGGGCTTGAACTCACAAACCCATGAGATCATGACCTGAGCTGAAGTTGGAGGCTTAACCGACTGAGCCACCCAGGCGCCCCTGCCATTATTAATTTTTAAATTAATAGTTGTGGGGTTTCTAACTTGTAATATACCAGTTATTTTTAGGAATTAACTTATTAGTATTTCTTCTAGAGTATATCATTCAACCATAAAGTACCTTGCTCTTCAACTGGGGCAAAAAGTTATATTTCATTCGTTAATGACTATCATGTGCTTTTGAAATACAACCTTAAAAACTGTTGTTTTATTTTAACCAGAGAAAATGTCTATTTCTTTAATTTTTGAGTTTGTCCTAGTATGTGCTCAACTCAGAGGATGTTGCTTTTTATTCCAGATTCCCTAGCCATTTTGTCCATCTCACCAGCTCTTCTTACTCCCCATCATTTGCATTTCTTCACTTGCCAGATTCCCATTTAAAGAAAACATATGTGAAGGACTATGGAAGCAAGAAGTATTCCTGTTCTAATCAGTCAGGCAGTAAAGTACTGCACTTACGAACTAGAATAATACAAAAGCTACACACATCAACTTGCTGGCTACAAGACGTCCCTGGTAAACCTCAGCCGGAGCAAACCCCAAAAAAGCCACAGGTGACAAACCCTGAGCCCACGAAAGGAACTGGTATGAAGATTAAAGAAGAAAAGCGATCTTATAGACAAAAAATTATGGGTGAACTTAAATATTATTACAATGGATTTTATTTACTTTGGATTGACACCAAAGTTGCTGCCCGGATGGTTTGGAGGCTATTGCATGGACAGGTGCTGACCAGACGAGAGAGACGAAGGGTAGGCAAGCGTCATACTTGAGAAAGAAAATGTAAAATTAAAGTGAAGTGTTGAGGAACCAAGTTTTAAACTCGACGTAAAGTTCATCCTAAAAATCCCAAAGTAGGAGTAGTAACTGATGGTGAGAACCAGAGTTTCTGATTGAGTTTATTTGTCTGAAACTGACTGACCCTCCAACTTTAGGCAAGATTCTTATTTGCCTATAAGATGATTATAATTGTATTTTCTGATCTCCCCACAGAGTGGAGAAACTTCAGGTTTGATCTGTGCACCCGAAGTAGAAACTACTGTTGATATATTCTGTATATGCATTTCAAAAATCAATTTTTAACAGATACTGTATTATTAAAGTACAGGCCTCTAACTTAGATGAAAGCTAAGAGATGCCAATAACATGTTTTGGTTGTCATAGATTTCCTTGAAGGTGTCCCATAGATATTACTTCAGAGCTGTGGTAAAGAGGAAAACTCTACCTTTCCATTTTATAAACAGAGAAAATCTGTTGAGGGTTTTTAACACTTTAAGAACCAAGGCAGACTTTTTTGGTTTCTTTCTTTTTTTTTTTTTGGACATGCCCTAAAATAATTAATACCGCATATGCATTTAATTCTTTAGCTCTTGAGAACTTGTGCTGATTTCTTCCGCCTGGTTCCATTTATGGTGTTCCTCATTGTACCCTTCATGGAATTCTTATTACCAGCATTTCTGAAATTCTTCCCAGAGATGTTGCCATCAACTTTTGAAAGTGAATCCAAAAAGGTATGTAGGATTTTTTTAAATTAAAAAAAATTAATAGACTTTATTCTTTAGAGCAGTTTTCACATTTATAGAAAAATTGAGCAGAAAATGTGAAGGGTCCCCAGGTACCACCTCCCATTTCTCCTGTATTAACATCTTGCATTTGTGTGGTCTGTTTGTTATAACTGAAGAACCAATATCTAGATATTATTATTAGTTAAATTTCATACTTTACATTAGGCTTTACTCTTTGTAATGTACAGTTCTTGGGTTTTGAAAATTGCACCACTGATCTTTTCACTGTCTCTCTAGTTTTGCCTTTTCCAAAATATCAGATAGTTGGAATCATACAGTGTGCACTCCTTTCATGGCTCATTTCTATCAGTGTATAATATTTCACTGTGTGAATGTACCACAGGTTGTTGAATTCACCTGTTGAAACATATTGTGGTTGTTTCCAGTTTTTGGCAATTATAAATAAAGCTGCCATAAATAAATGTCTGTGTGCAGGTTTTTGTACGAGCATAAGGTTTCAACTCATTTGGGTTCCTAAATACATTGAAAAGCAATTGCTGGATCGTATGGTAAGACTGTTTCGTTTTGGAAAAAAAAATAACTGTCTCCCCAGGTAGTGATACCGTTTTTTTATTTTCACCAGCAACGAGAGTTCCCATAGCTCTTTGTCTTCATCAGCATTGTGTTGTCACTGCTGTGAATATTAGCTATTCTAATAGGTGTAAAGTGATATCTCATTGTTATTTTAGTTTGCAATTCTCTGATGAGGTGTAATATTGAACACATGCTTATTTTCATATGCTTATTTGCTACCTGTATATCTTCTTTGGGGAGGTATCTGTCTTTTGCCAACTTTTTAATGGAGTTGTTCATTTTCTTATTGTTGAGTTTTAGGAGTTCTTAGTATATTTGGATACAAGTCCTCTATCAGATATGTGTTTTGCAAATATATTCTCCCAGCCTATAGCTTGTCCATTCTCTTAACTGGCTTTCACAGAGCTAAAGTTTTTCATTTTAATAGAGTACAACTTATCGATAGATTTTTTCTTGGCTTATGCTTTTGGTGTTGTATCTAAAAACTCATTGCCAAACTCTAGGTCACCTAGGTTTTCTCATATGTTTTTTTTTTTTTTTTAATTTTTTACATTTTATTTTAAGTAGGCTTCACACCCAGCATGGGGCTTGACTCACAACCCTGCGATCAAGAGTCGCATTGCTCTACTGACTGAGCCAGCCAGGTGCCCCTCCTGTGTTTTCTTCCAGATGTTTTATAATTTTGAGTTTTAAATGTAAGTCTATAATCTGTTTTGAGTTAATTTTGGTGAGAGGTGGAACATCAGTGTTAAGACATTTTTTTTTTTTTTTTTGGCGTGTGGATACCAAGTTTTTCTAGCATCATTTGTTGACAATGTGATCCCATTGAATCGTAACTTTTTAACTATTAAAAAAAAAAGAAAACAAAAATCAACTGCTATTGCAGGGACTAGTTGAATAGTAGGTTTAGCCAGACAGACACTTTAGTGCTTAAGACTTGTCCTGGAGAAGAGGGATCCTCATTGGATGGTCACTGGGGTGTCCCCTTCATTCTTTCCATGCTGTGCCACTCTTACTACACAGAGGTACAAAGGCATGAACACATTACAAGAGGACAAAAAGGACAACTTTTATGTATTTGTTTTTAAATGGTTATTTCTTTTGAGAGAGAGAGTGTGTATGCAGTGGGGGGAGGGGTGGTGGGGCATGCAGAGAGAGAGGGAAAGAGAGAATCCCAAGCAAGCTTCATGTTGTCAGCACGGAGCCCAATGTGGGGCTCAATCCCACAAACCGTGGGATTATGACCTGAGCCCAAATCAAGAGTAGGACACCTAACCAACGAGCCACCCAGACACTCCTGAAAAGGACAACTTTTAAATGGGATTGGGAAATGTCTCATAGAAGAGATAGCTAGGCGACTGAGACTAGAAAAGTGGTAGAATTTTGCTGCAGCATTTGAAAGGCTTTCTGGATAGAAAGAGTAGCACTTACAATGGCTTAATTGTATAAAAAAGTATGACAGAATCTGAGACACTGAGTGCTTCTTTGTGGTTTGAGTAGGGAATACAAGGAGATCCATGGTGGAAGATGAGACAAAAGTGATGTGTTGGGTCAGGTTGGAAAGCGACTACCACCCTAAGGAATTTAGAGTTTGCCTTTGACCATGGTGAATGATGGAAGGTAAATTTACGCAGAGGGTGAGTAACATGATTAGATCTGTACCTTAGAAAAATAGTTTTACTAGCTGGAAGGATTGAAGAGGACAGAGCCAAGGGAGGGAAATCATCTGGAATACTGTTACAGTAGCACAGGAGTGAGAGGATTAAATTATGAAAGTGGTATTAGGAATAAAAACTTGAAGATACATTTGAGATAGGTGTTAGGGGGTAGATTCAAGCTTCAATATTTAACTGACTGGTAGTGGTTTAGTTTACTTACGTTTAGAGTAATCAGGACCTAGAATTAATATCTTGAGATTCCAAGGAATGTATTTGTGCGTGCAGGAAGATGGGGGCAGAGAGGAAGTGATTTATCTAAACATTCCTCTTTCCTCAACACTTCTCGTTCCCCAAACATACATATACACACATCATGGCCAGAGTTTTAGAAAGTAACTTTTTCTTTCTTTCTTTTCATGGAGATGGATGAGACAGACAGACAGAGTAGGTGATGGTGGAGGGAAGCAGGTTATGGGAGGCAGGACACTATTTACATCAGATTAGAGCACCCATTCACTCTCATGATACTTATTTGTTACACTTTTACATTAATTTATGGAAATTTTGGATTATCATTAGTCACTAATGTTTGTCTTTCCCATTGGACTAGAAGTTCCATGAGGGTAGGAATTCTTCTGTTTTTGCTTGTTTTATCCCCAGCACCTAGCACAGGGTAGATGCTCAGTAAATAAATGAATAGATGGATGGATGGATCTCATGATGGTATTGCCATTGCCATTGTGTGATTTTTCTTTTCTTTCTTTCTTTTTTTTTTTTTTTGGTTGCGTCTCTTCAAATCTTTCTAAAAATCAGTGATTGTTATGATTGGCTGATCATTAGAATCTCTTGGACAACTTAAAAAATAGACAAAGATTTCTCTTTCTCTCCATCCCCCTGAGTCCTGACTATGGTTATTCTGAAAATGCTACCACACTGCATTTCTGATAGTGAATGAGGATTTAGAAATACTGGTCAACATCGAGTCTTAAGAGTGTACATTTAGGGGCTGGCTCAGTCAGTAGATCATAGGATCTTGGAGTTCAAGGCCCACCCTGGGAGTAGAGCTTACTTAAAAAAAAAAAACAGGGGCGCCTGGGTGGCGCAGTCGGTTGAGCGTCCGACTTCAGCCAGGTCACGATCTTGCGGTCCGTGAGTTCGAGCCCCGCGTCAGGCTCTGGGCTGATGGCTCGGAGCCTGGAGCCTGTTTCAGATTCTGTGTCTCCCTCTCTCTCTGCCCCTCCCCCGTTCATGTTCTGTCTCTCTCTGTCCCAAAAATAAATAAACGTTGAAAAAAAATTAAAAAAAAAATAAAAAAAAAACAACAAAGGAATGTACATGTAATTCTTTTTTGTGTAGTGCTTTGTTCACATCTGTTGTAACACTTACGTCAGTGTATTATAATTAATTGTATCTGTTTTGTATGAAACTACGTGCTACAGTAGCATAGAGTTACTTTCCCAGTTTCTTTCCCAGTTACTTTCTGGCTCATGCAAAATCTGGGACCACTGAGACCAGAGGTTGGTCCAACTAGATGGTTTGGTTGTACCAGGCTAAGAGATAAGATCTCATTCTAAATAATGACAAAGGCTGCCATTGAGGGGACAATTTGGATCTATCAAATATTTATGATCATTGTGTTAGTAACAAATAAAAGGTAAGATTAAGGAGTCAAGTTGCAAACAGAGGCTAGTTTTTATTCTGCTTCTCACAAAACCCATTTAATTAGGTCTGAAAATAATTTAACACATGAAGTAGGGATGAACAATAACAAGGTGGTGGTTATTTTTTTTTATCATCTTTATTTATGAAGTTGCAATCATGAATGATTAACTTCCTCCTCTTCTATTATTAAGGAAGAAAAACAGAAAAAGAAAATGGCTGCAAAGTTGGAACTAGCAAAATTTCTTCAAGAAACAATTACAGAAATGGCAAGGAGGAACAGGGCCAAGTTGGGAGACGCCTCTACACAGTTCTCATCCTACGTCAAACAGGTGTCAGTCTCTTTTGTAATACCAGACAACAACTTCCAGGCTGGCAGTTATATGAAAACTTCATATCATCATGGAGCCAAATTGTTCATGGTCTCTGACTTTGCAGATACCTTAGTTATACAGATACAATACTGCAAACATTTAGAGATTTGCAGAAAAACCCATTTTAAAGCAGTCATGTGTTGAAGACGTTGATAACTTCATGGAAAGAACCGTAGATCTAGAGTCAGACTTGTGAACTACTCCTGATTTTTCAGTTGACTTAGACTGACTTGGACAGATTTCTCCTTTTTGTATCACAGGGCCGATTTCCAGACATAAGATAGAGTCTGTGAATGCCTTGATGTGTCTTTCAAATAGTCTACAGGGAAGGTTAAATTAAGTAAGAAATACATTTTAGGGGCACCTGGGTGGGTGGCTCAGTCGGTTGAGCGGCCGACTTCGGCTCAGGTCATGATCTCGCAGTCCATGAGTTCGAGCCCCGCGTTGGGCTCTGTGCTGACAGCTCAGAGCCTGGAGCCTGTTTCAGATTCTGTGTCTCCCTCTCTCTGACCCTCCCCTGTTCATGCTCTGTCTCTCCCTGTTTCAAAAATAAATAAAACGTTAAAAAAAAAATACATTTTAATGAACCTCTTTGTCTCATTGCCTAGGTTCAGACAGGCCACAAGCCCAGTACAAAGGAGATAGTTCGCTTTTCCAAACTGTTTGAGGATCAGCTAACCCTGGAACACCTAGACCGACCTCAGCTGGTCGCCCTCTGCAAACTACTAGAACTGCAGCCCTTTGGAACCAACAATTTGCTTCGCTTTCAACTTCTGATGAAACTGAAGTCTATCAAAGCAGATGATGAAGTAAGAGCTTAACTATAGCCATAGGGAATCAGCAAGGCATGGGAGATCCCTTAGGGTGGCTTTGTGATAAAGTGCAATATCTTCTCTTAGATCTTCTCCGGGTTCTGGCAAACCATTGAATGGTTTAAACAATCATCACCATGGCAACGTGAACTGTGATTACTCATTTTAGGAGTTGTTTGTCTTACTCTGACGCACTTTCTGGAGAAGGCCCTCACAAGCAGTTAGTAATTTAGTAATCTAAAGTAGTTAGGACCTGCTGGGAAGGAGCAGCAGCCCAGGAGATTCCTGAGAGTCTTCCATTGCTAAGGCCAGTGCTCTACCCCCACACCTCAGCTCCCCTTCCTCAGAGCTGATGCCAGAGTAAATATTCTGCCCGGTGAGTTGGCCTGATAAGAAGGGGTGACAAGTCATAATGCAGAGAGGGGAAGCAGAGCCTGGACATCTTATGGAGGAAAAGGCATTGTAACTACTAATTAGGCTCCTTAAAAAATGGAAAGAATGTTTTTTGAGTCAGAATCAGCTGCTTTAAGGAAAGCATTCTGCCTGAGGGAGCAAGATTCCCAGAACTGAGAAAGCACCATCCCTTTGGCCTCATTTAGATTTCAGCTGTTGCTTCCAGAACTTTGGAATAAACAATACCGGTCCCAGAAGTACCGTAGTTTTGGGGCACAACAAGCAGAAACTGTTAGATATTGAGAGAGTTTTGTGGACCAGAGGTAGGGCTGTGCCCCAGTGGTGGTGGGGTTGGGGGGAGAGTGATACTGGGACACGCAGCAAATGGTAACACTGAAAACTTTTCAAGTGGAATATTTTCTGATGAAGCCTAAAGCTGCCACAAAGGGGAAGAGATATCACAACCAGCCAAAATGCAAACCAAGAGGGGAAAGAATTACTTGGATGAGAGTGTTGGGGAGGAGTTATGGGACTCTGATACTATTAATACCTGTTGGCAGGATTCCCTTCATTTCCAACTGCTGCGCCTTTAGTCAGTGCAGAGGACAAGGTGTGAGAGATGTAGTGTTTCCCCTGATCTGTTGGAATTTAGGCGTTTGGTAAGATTGGGATGGAAAGATCCAGTACCACTGCTTACGTTTCTTTCAGATAATTGCCAAAGAAGGGGTGAGTGCTTTGAGCGTGTCAGAACTGCAGGCTGCCTGCAGGGCCCGAGGAATGAGATCCCTGGGTCTCACTGAGGAGCAACTGAAACAGCAGCTCACAGAGGCAAGTAGCGGCTCTCCCGGGCCACTTTCACTAGAACTCTCTTCCCTGCGATTTGCAGACCTCACTTTGCAATGTCGACTTCTCAGGCGAGCCATCTTACCTTAGTTCGCCTCATGTAATTGAGCAGTGGGACACTGAAGCAGCTAGATTTATTTTGTTTTTAAGTTTATTTATTTATTTTGAGAGACAGTGCAAGTGGGGAAGGAGCAAAGAGAGAGAGGGAGAGAGAGAATCCCAAGCAGTCTCCACACTCAGTGCGGAGAGCCTGATGTGGGGCTCGAACTCATGAACCATGAGATCATGGCCTGAGTTGAAGTCAGATGCTTAACTGACTGAGCCCCCCAGGCACCCCAGAAGCTAGATTTACTTTTTTGATGGAGACAGGGTACTCTGTTCGTTTTCTGTTGCTGCTAAGAAACTACCACAAACTTAGTTGCTGAAAACAGCACCTGTTTGTTAGCTTACAAGTTCTGTCTGTCAGAAGTGCAAAGCTTCTCACTAGCCAGACCCCTGTAAGCTTCTCATCTCAGACTTCCCCTTTTTGACCTCTAGCTCCACATTTAGAGATCTCACGTGATTAGGCGAGACCTAGTTAGATAACTTCCTACTTTAAGGCCTACTGACTTGGGACCCTAATTATATCTGCAAACTCCTCCTGGCAGCACCTACATTCATGCTTGAATAACTGGAAGGAGGTGTGGGTGCACTGGGGACGGGGAATCTTGGGGCCACCTTAGAGTTTTGCATACTTCAGCTATTTAACGGGTTTGGGCAAAATCTCTAATCCAAGGCCTGTCATGTGTGAATCCACCCGGAGTTCTAAACCTTGCCCGGTGGCTCACCTGGGACCACTTTTCCAGTTAATGCCTCAAGCCAATGTAAAGCCTTGACTTTGGCAGCAGATGTTTCATAGT